TTTGAAAAAAACAAAATAAATTTTGATGAATACACTCAAATCTTGCATTTTATTGAACCATTCCTGATACTTTCTGATCACAGGGTATAAGGTAACTAACTATAATGACTTAGCAGGGTAGATCTTCCTTTTTCAAAGTTTGTCCTGAATATACAGAAAATATTAATTTGCCCTAATTTATTTTTTCAATGTCATTTGTTTTTTATTTTTTATTCATACTTTATAATTATTTTGTCTATGATTCCCATAATCTTGATTTTAATTAAATACTTATCTAAATTTAATTCAAATTCTAATGTGAACTGTTCTATTTTTTAAAACAGAAAATGGCTCCATAGAAATGTTACTTCTAAATAAAAATTTTGGCTTTGATAAATAAGCAGCATACTTCTGTTTAATTTAAATATGGTGCCACGTTTTCAAAATTTGTTATTGAAAATTACAAATTTTGAAAACATATTACAGTAGAGCCTTGAAAACTCTGCCTAATGTGGACCAAAGGGTGGCCGAGTTTGTGAAAATGCTGGGTTATTGGGAATGGGGTTAAAAAAGGATAAGTATGCATGTTTCCTCAGAAAATATTGTACTGTACTTGTATGTATTGTTTGCTTGAGAATACAACAGAGAATAAACTGCCCAAATACCCTTAAACAAAGGAAAAGTACATCCTTTATGAAGGCATAGAGCCTTTACTACATGAAAATGAAAATTGATGAATACACTGTGTACAGTAATTTACCTGATAAGACAGACCTTAGAAAAATACTTTATGTGAAAATTAATTAACTAAGGATTTTTTTGCCCTGCCAGGGTGTGGCCGAGTTATCTGGAGTGCCAGGTTATCGAGTGCCGAGTTTTCGAGGCTCTACTGTAATTGTAAATTAATAATGATCAAACTATTGATAAAACACAACTAAAGCAGGTATTTTAAAATCTGTTTTATTAACTAAATTAAATTTAGTCTTTTCAAGGAACAAATTTTATTACACAAATGTTATTAGCCAATGATAAAACTGTCACAGACAACTTATTCATCTAAAAAAATCCATACACAGTGAACCTCCATACAAAATGAGATACATTCCAAAAATAAAGTCTCAAATTAAATCTTATAATCACTAGATAAGCAGAAAACCATAAAAATTTCAATATATTTTGACTTGACTGAATCACTACTGATTTTAGCAATTTTTTGTTAGTTAAATGACCAGTACTACTATCATAGTCTATTATTAGCATCTTTTGCATTATATGACACTTTGTCACTTGAATTAGATAACTTAACAAGCATATTTTATTAAAAAAATAGAAACAGAATAGAAAAAACAAATGTAAATGTATTTGTATTTTCTATTTTGTTTCTATATTTACTGTATTTGTATTTTCATATTTAAAAAACTTTTACATTTTGTTTATGTGACTATTTGTGTTATCACATGCTTCACTTTGACAATCTTATTCTTAAGGTATGATGTTAAAAATTATGCAGTGTTCTTTCCAGACCCTTTCTGCTAGATGCCCAGATGATTTTTCTGGATAACCAGCTAATAAACTTCAAGAGAAATATATATATACACATACATATAATACACAAAAGGTGTGACTTTTTTGTATTTCAATCACAAATTTTAGTGTATGTTTATCAGAATCCATTCAAAATTTAAAGAAATGTGCATTCTTTCCAACAAATCAATTAAAACCTCTACCTGAATTATATATCTAGAAATTATTCTTTCAGGAATGACCTTCCTTTGTTAACCTTTTTAAAAATCACAATGTTTAAAACGGAATAATTTTATAGTTTTTATTATTCATCTATGTTAAAAATTGTTTTTTCCTCTTTTAGTTGATATATAATAAACCAGTTGAAAGGCCCAATGCAGGCAATGAAGTATAGTAAATAGTTAGCATGCATAGCAATGAAAATAATTAATTGCAAATGGTTTACCTAAAGTGCAGAGATGTTTGGCAGAACACTGTTGAAAGTGAACTGCTCATAACTATCATTGTCATGTACTAAAAGCAACATTCCTACATCCAATTCTCATGAAATAACTTTCAAAATACCAATAAGATACTACATATTTCTGTTATGATTGCAAAGAAATACCGTAATATCCCATCTCCAGTTCAAAACATAATAATGAAACAAAAAGCATAACTATCATTGTCATGTACTATGACTTACATCACTATATCCAAGTCTTTTTAAGTAACACAGCAAGAGCAGCATGCATGCCGAATACCAACAAAAAGAGTCAAGCATGGACTCTGGCAATTCCTAGGTTTGCTGCTATGCTTTGTTGGCATTCAATACGCCAACAGAGACTGGCCATTTTATCAGTTTTATATAGTAGATAGATAAAAATAATAATATACTGAATTATACTGTAACAATATAAAATATATATATATATATATAATAATTTGTACAGTAATTGTGATCTTTTTGCTTATTTGTATTTATACTTTAAAAGAACTAAACATTACTTAATAATAACAGCAATAACTGTGTGAAAAACTTAAAATTTATTTAAATCTTGTCAAAAGATAAAGCTAAGTGCTATATTATCTAACCAAAGATTGATGCTTGTTGAAAATACAAGTAGACATGTTTAAAACAAAGGTAAACAAATGTGTACCTTGAACTCTCAACCTTAGGGAAGGGTCCTTGGGGGTTCTATGGTAGGCATCTTGAAAGTGTTGACACATTGAAAAATACAGTAGAGCGTCATTTATCCGAATCAATTGGGGACTGAGGTTGTTCGCATAACTTATTTTTTGGATAACTGATTATGTACGAAAAATATATTAACCAATCCCATGTTGAAATTTTTCTCTGTCGCTTCGCGTTAAATTTTCATTGATGTTAAGCCTAACATAAACTTTTTAAAATAATAATCGTGGCTATTGTATCATTAAAAATTATTTCTTTATTTTTTACAAACAAAATAAATACATTGAAAAATATAAAAACAAAAAAAATTATACTTTAGAAGTTAATCTAGTATCAAAAATGTTCGATTCAGCATGACACACAGTCCTCAGAAAAACACCACACACAAGTGCCAGTGCTGCCAGCTTAAACACACATACCAACAAAAAAATATTGGAGTACCCAAGTTATAGCCAAAGATTGCAGTGCCACAGCACTAGAGAAAATTAAAATTTGCCAACTGGAATTCTTTCGGATAACTGACGCTCTACTGTAGTTGTAAATCATTATAAAACACTCAAAAGATTCTTTTGTTACTGTTGATGTTAAAGTTTATTGATTTTGATATAATTAAAATAAATTTTTAATAGAAAACATATTTGAGAATCACTGAAAAACTATCTCAAACAACTTCATAAATTTATAAATTAATTTACTAATTTTGTAGCTCTATATTTTCTTAATTTCAATTTATAAAGATGGGAATAATCTTTTGCATATTAAATTAAAAAACGTTTGATAAAATACATGAAATAAATTAAAAGCAAATTTAATTAATATTACATATTATGTAATATATAATTTGTTCCAAATATGCATTTATATCACTTTGTAATACTTTGTAATAATACAAAAAATTAATACTCACCACACCTATATAACAATCACATACACTGAACCAATTTACGGTGTGGTACGATCGACTAACTAGTACAAAAACAAACGTTTTCGAACCCCTTCTGGGCTCTTCATCAGGTTCCTACAGTTTTAGCTCATAAATTCGATTAACAAATGCCTTCAAATAACCTCGTTCTTGAGTTTGAAAAGTTCTTTTATAAATTATATGTTGCGCATGCGTGACGAGTCAGCCTGCTCGGATATAACGAGTGGTTAAAGCGTGCTGTGTATCAACTCTTGCCAGGCCATCGACAAAAGCATCTCCTCTAACCATTTGAATTGATCATTGGGAAGCACCCCGAAGAGGAGATTGGCCCTAGTAAAGTCGGCAACTATGTCTGGGTCTGTTACGTATGTTGTGAGGGCCATGCTGGTTCTCCCAAGACGAATATCAGCCTGATGTTCCTGCATTTTGATGCCTATGGATCTTTTAGTAGAGCCTATATATACTAAATCCCTATTGAATCTATTATCTCTCGAAGGGACACTATAGATTCTTGGTCTTCTGCTGGGGTTAGGAGGGTCCTTCCCATTCCTTAAGATGTTAAAAATAGTGGGACACCTCCTGTAAGCAATACATATTTGGCGTAGACCAGCAGAAGACCAGGAATCTATAGTGTCCTTTTGAGAGATAATAGATTCAATAGGGATTTAGTATATATAGACTCTACTAAAAGATCCATAGGCATCAGAATGCAGGAACATCAGGCTGATATTCGTCGTGGGAGAACCAGCACGGCCCTCGCAACATACGTAACAGACCCGGACATAGTTGCCGACTTTACTACGGCCAATCTCCTCCTCGGGGCACTTCCCAATGATCAACTCAAATGGTTAGAGACGATGCACATCTTTAAATCCTCTATCGAAACCACGTGCATAAATTTTAAAGAGGAGATGCTTTTGTCGATGGCCTGGCAAGAGTTGATACACAGCACGTTTTAGCCGCTTGTTATATCCGAGCAGACTGACTCGTCACGCATGCGCAACATATAATTTTTAAAAGAACTTTTCAAACTCAAGAACAAGGTTATTTGAAAGGCATTTGTTAATCGAATTTACGAGCTAACACTGTAGGAACCTGATGAAGAGCCCAGAAGGGATTCAAAACGTTTGTTTTTGTACTGGTTAGTCAATCGTACCACACTGCAAATTGGTTTAGTGTATGTGACTTTGTAATAATATTTTATTTCAAAATCGTTTTGAAATTCAAATAAAAATAAATACAAAGTAAAAGACAAAATGCTTAAGCCAAAGCAATCTGGATAAAAGTCCAACAATTTTTCACTTGAAGATTCAAACAAGATTTAGTAAGTAATAAACTGAATTAAATTTTAAAATATTTACAATAGTCAATAAAATTATATATATATATAAGACAACTTACCTTATCATCATCATCATCTTCTCTTCCTTCTAAACTATCCACATTGCTATAAGTTTCTTCTTCATTACCAGTTAATGACCTCTCTAATAATAATAATAATAAACTTTCTTCACAAATCAATTTCTCAATTAAAAAAAAATCATTAATTTACAACTATTTTCAAATTCCTAAGTTTTGAAAAATGTATGACATTAAGACAACTTAGCATCCAGGTTTATGTCTGTCTACATAATTCAAGCACTGACATTTCAATAATACAAAAATTGTCATTTCAATCCTTCAGAGGTTGTGCATGAGGAAAATGGCCACAGAATGTTGATAATGTCTTGTTGAAGATGTTGTATGTAAGTGCATTTCAGTATTTGCTATTCATAGAATGTCATCACTTGTGTCAAGTGACCTTCCTATTTCTAACCATTTAGTTGTTTCTGAGCTTTGAATTGGGTGGCACATCACAGATAATATGATATATTATCATATCTGTGATGTACTTGCACTACTTGTCTTGCAATGTTAGTATAATTTGTGTTTACTTTTTTTATTCATTTTTTTAAATATATTTGATAGAGTAGCTTATATTTTGCATACTTACTACACAAATATCTTTATTTAACAATGACGATTTTTAGACTTATATTAGTTTGAAAATACACTAAATAGCTTTCAGAATGCCTACATTTTTGTGATGTTTCTGGCTCTCATACAGCTTTGACCCAGGAAGAGTTGAATGGAACTTTAGAACAAGTTGTGAGAGAATTGATAGAAAAAAAAAAAAGAAGAGCCAGAAGAGACTAAGATACTAAAACTGAGTCAGAGGCACGGAAGATTTTAGAAGACAAGTCATGACAGTGACACTGAACAATCAGCTCATGGGATAGATGACCCTTTAATAAAACAAAATGTGGTAAAAATTAACACTCAAAAAACCTTAACAGTCCAATACTGGACTGTTAAGGTATTTTGAGTGTTAATTTATACGAGTTCCAGTATTTGTGTACAAAGGTTTTTTAATTTAAGTTATGGTAAAAATGTCTGCAAAAAATACAGTCATGTGACTGTGTTTCTTGCAGTCATTTTTACCATAATTTAAATCACTAAATATGTCTGTGTAAAGGTGAGCAACAGATCGGAGTGGAGTAACCTATTTTTAATTATCTAGATGCTTTATAATTCCAATTGTTCAATAAAAAGTTTATTTTATTCATATTTTAAAAAAAATCAAATATTGGAAGATATGGAATAGTGATAGGACGATTAATCAAAATCAGAAAAATCGGACATTTTCCAGATATCAGAATCAAAAAAATCTTTTTACAATTCTTTCACATTTTATAAGAAAATTATTTGTTTTGGTTGAAGATTAAGCATTTTAAAAATTATGATATTAATAATTAAATATTTAAAAAAATATATAGAAAAAACTAAAATGTCTTCATTTTCATCATGTTGATTCACCAGGAACAAGTTTTTCATTGCAGAGATAATCTTTTATTAGAGGCTCTGCAAATATATGCAAAACAGTTTTAAAAGTTCACAGGTGGCAAGCCAACAATTAAAAACTACATAATTTCTTTTTAAAAAATAACACATAAAAAAATGTAGAAAAGACTAAAATGTCTTCATTTTTGCCATAAAATATTAGTTTATTCGAAAGTTTCATGTTGACAAGCAGAGAGTATGCAACGGCCCATATACAAAGTGATGTTTCACATGGCAAACTTTTCTTTCCTGTAGCAAGAGTAACAAGAGATTGCACTTGATCAGTACTAACTGTCTCCATTTTAGGAGAAATGGGTGACTTTTAGGATTGTCATCTGCCCAGTATTGAGTTGACTTGACCAGCAATCTCTATTCTGTATATACATTAAAACCAAAATGTTCTGTCACTGTTGCATGCACACAAATAACAAATTTAAAAATTAACTTGATTTATAATTTGAAAATTTCAAAACCATTTTTAAACAGTTTTTAAAAACATTGTCTTAATTTTCAACTGATTTGATTTTAATTTTGGTTTTGGTGTAATAGCCAGAGTTTTAATTATTTTTTTTAATAAAATTTTTATATATTTAATTTCGCCTGAATTATTTTAATCCTTAAATACAATTTTTTAGTTAATTCCAAGTGTTTTTTTTCTTTTTGCAACATAACTATAGAAATTGTTTGTGTTAATGTACTAAGCCTAAATTTAGACTTAATAAATTAGCAGAAATTAGTAACAGAAATGATTAATTAAAAATGTTTGTGTGTTGTTTCGCACAAAATGTTACTAAAAATTAAAATAAATTTAAATTTGATTATTTCATTAATTTTTGTTTCATAAATCTGCCTGCTTTTGAAAAATCTTAATTATAAGTGAGTTAACATTAATTTAACTGTCAAGTTATCTAGTTTCAATTTAAACCCAGCAGTCGGCAAAATAATATAACATGTACACAAAATTATATTTTAATTAAAAAAATACAATATATAATTATTTTTAACGTTTACTATGTTTATTACTTATAATGACAAAACAACTTTCTTATTATAATCATGAAAGTTTTTGTTATGATTCACAGATGATGCTGTAATACGTTCAGTGGCATAGCATGGGTGTCAGCCGCCCAGGGCAAAGGAAAATTTCACTGTCCCCTTATTTAGGTATCTCAATTTAAAAGACTAAAATTCAGCTTCATCACAGAATAAGTAATAAAAAATTCCGTGCTAGTGTTGCCACCTTTTTAAAATCGCTGACCTAGAGGGCAGGTGAGGTTTGTTCGAATAGAAGTTCCTGACGCATGCATAATGTCATTTTGCAATGCGAAGAATAATGTGCAGTGCATGCCAGTTGTAAATCAGATGACATAGCTTTATTGGATATTGGAGATGTGTATGTGTGAATATGAATCGTACAAGAAAAAAAAATCGACAGATTGTGCATGATATTGCCGGGGGAAATTAACAGTTCACCCGGACAGCGAGTCGATTCCCGGACTGTCCAGGTGGTAACACTATTCCATGCTCATTTTAATCGGTCCGAATCGTAGGTGCGACGAAAATATGAAATAAAATGGTTCAAATTTTTAAAAATTATTATTATTATTTATTGTGAAATTTTGATTTTGCCGCCCCCACTACACTATGCCACTGAATACATTATATTTTTAAATGCGATTTGCACAATTCTGAGTAAAACTACTTGCAAAGTTTAATGCTGTTTTGAGTTTTAAAAATTGATTTTTTTAAGATGAATCAGTCTAGATACTCATGGCTCAAATGACTTCAAAAATTGGTTAACTCATGACAATGATACTTGTTCGGCTCATTGCATCATTTGCTAAACCTCATTTAGTATTAAATATGATGTAGTTAAATCATTTACATGACATGCTCATTGCAAGATGCATGAAAAAACTGCATCTTTCCTTTCCCTAGTCATTGTATCGGCCAACAAAGTGGTTTTCAAAGATAGCAACCCTAAATGACACAATGGAATAGTTCATTGAGTAAATTAGTTGTAATTTCATTGGGGATAATGTTGCAATATTAACTTTATCTGAAATAAGATTACAAATTGATTTTATAGTACACAATAAAAGCATGTGTATCCATGTATAAATAGAGAATTTTTGGATTTCTTTCGAAAGATTGATTATGGATTTCCCAATCATTTTCCATTCTTAAGCTTGATGTTTATTAATTAATTAATATATGTATCATGCTCATAATGTAAACTGTTAATTTTTCTAAACTAAAATAAACTTTAGAAAGTATTCAAAAGAATCAGAATCGAGAGAAATTTTATCATCAATTTTACAATGCATATACAATATTACAGTGGTACCTCAGGATACGAAATTAATCTGTTCCGAAACTGAGATCGTATCATGAAAATGTCGTAAGGTGAATCATTTTTTCCCATACGATTACATGCAAAACCAAATAATTCGTTCCAACACTAAAAACACACTCAAATTAAAGCTAAGTTCTACATTAAAAAAAAATAACTGTAGTAAGGAAAACACTGAAAAATGCATTTTTTGGTTATAAATGTATAAATAACCATAATAGAATAATAATTGATTAAAAAAAGTAGTTTATTTGCACTTTACCTTCGAGGATAGACGACGGTGGAGGTGTAAACTGATGGCGGAAGAGAGGGAGAAAGAAAATGATACTAAAACTTAACTTTCATAACATAATGTAACAATAACTTAGAAAAGATGAAAAAAAATTAGTGTTGTTTTATATATATATATTTAAATTTTTATTCACTGATTTTTGCTTTCTTTCCTTCACTGCCACCAACACTTTCACTGGATAGAGGTTGCTTGGTAAAATATCTCTCCAAAGAGATTTGGCTTTGCCTACTTTTTAAAATGTTTCTAAAATGACTTAGGCAAATGTCATTAAACTGAACAGCAATACGGCCAGTGTGAACCTTTTTGGGATGTTTCTTTTCAATAAAATCAGTCACTTTCTGATAATACCTCAAAATTTCCTTAATCGAGCAAGATCCTTCCACGACAAAGCAAACACATGGACTGAGACCAATGAACAGAAGTAAATAAAAAATGGCGCTGCGAACTAATGTAACGTCGTATGGTGAGTTTTTGTTCGTATTGTGGAGCAAAAATATGTTTGAATTTCATGTTGTATCCTGAAAATTTCGTATGCTGAGGTACCACTGTACTTCATTAATATGAAGTAATATTGTATATGCATTGTAATAGTTATGTGTCTTCTCACAAAACTCTAGAGCAGGGATGGGCAGCCTTTTTCTACATAAGACATTTAAATCCTTTGAACTGATGCAGGCCACACACACAAGAAGGAAAAAAAATGATAGTAAATCACAATTATTTATTCATATATGATTATAAATTAACGTAAGTATGCTTAATTAATTTGACTTCTGTCACTAATATGAACATAATACAGTCAACCCCCTATAACACGGTAGATACGTTCCGGTTTTTATGAATCCATTTTCTAAGAGTCCAGCCAATCACAGTCCAGCACGTATGCAGTTTACAGACTACAGCTGTTTGAAAGGTTTCTTCCATAAAATTAATCGATTCTAGACTAATTCGACTCAACATTTCCAAAATACGTATAATTTTTTGGGAATAATCCATATAAACTATGCTATAAACAAAAAACTGTAGGATTACTTACCGAGCGTGCACCGTTTGACTACGCCACTGCTTAAGCTTATTTTCGTCATGGAGCTTGTCATCAAATGGCACTCGCGTGATTCCCGATAAATTATTTTTTTTGCAAAACTTTGCTGAACTTTGGAGACATCATTAATATAAATATAATTTTTATGGACATTAAATAATAAATGATTTTTAGTAGGTCTGCTCATTTAAACTCAACGGTTTGTACAATATCCGCTATTGGTCTAGATTCGACCAATCCTGTCGTGACACGAGTTGGCGATGATGTTTTACCAAATTATACGAGTTTTTTTAGCATGTTTGTATGAATACTGTCGCAATTTTTTCGCCGTAATATAGGAATCCAAACTATAGGAACCTGTGTTATAGGGAGTCGACTGTATATATAAAATATTTGGTTGAATATTAGTCACTGGTAGTTTTAAATCAGTTTTGATGTGTCTGTTAGCCAATTTCTTGTTTTACTTTTTAATTAATTTAATAAATTTTTACTAGCTTGTAGAAAATGATGATAAAGTTTTTGCTGTGTATTTTACGTTGAGAAATTGATATATTTATTAATATTTTGTGTGATTTGGGCCGTGGGTTGCCACCTCTACTCTAAACACAAATTCATAACGGTTAATTTTTTCATGTCATATCACTGATAAAAGCAATTAATATAAGATATCTCTTTTTCTTTATAATTTTACATTGCTTATATCAATCTTTTCAGCGAGATAACAGGATACACAGATATAGTATTCCTTCATTTTTTGTGGGGAATAGGTTCAAAAACCCCACAGATGTTTGAAACCTTGAATAATACTGAACCTAAATAATATAATAGCCCCTCATCATATCACAGATTCAGTTATATCATACTTTTTTTGGTCCCCCAAATTTTAAAAGCACTTGAATCAATAAATTTTAATATATAAAATGCCATTGAATTTCTTTTTGCAACGAAATACTGCATTTTATTCCTATACCATTGTCCTTGAAACTACTACTGCAGATGAAACAATAAATTCATCAAGATCTAAATAAGCAAAACAGGTGGGCAAATCAATTATCATTTATGTTTCCTTTCAATATTAAAAGTTGTTTATTTATTGATTTTAAGTACAGTCTCCTCATTAAAGAAACAATAATGCTAAATGGGCATTCATGGTATCGATGTTTACGTAAACGTCAATTAATACGATATAACCACGAATAAAATTCAGGATTGAAANATTAAAGAAACAATAATGCTAAATGGGCATTCATGGTATCAATGTTTACATAAACATCAATTAATACAATATAACCAAAAATAAAATTTAGTATTGAGAAACCAAGCTTATTTTATATCAGAAACATTTGCTGTTGATGGAATAGAGGACAGAGTATCTATAGCATGCATAATCTTATTAGTATAAGACCAGAATTTTTAGTTCTTGGTTATATCGCATCCCATATATATTGCACTTTTTCTTTGTCCCCTCACAAGCATGATGTAATGAGGGGCTACTATATATATTTTAAAATATACACATATCTGTGATACAATTTAAAAATTAAACAGTCCTATTAAGCAAAATAAATTATAGAAAACACAGTACAGTACAGCAATACAATCAGCATAGATATTGCTTATTCTAGGGGGTAGGCAACCTGAAGACCACAATACTGCATTTTGTACAGCCCACATAGCACAAAACATTAATAAATAGCCTATATCCATTTCCACTTTAAAAAAGTATGCTGTAAAAATTCTGTCATTATTTTCTACGACTTATTATGTGAACAGTTTTTTCTGCAATAAACTTAGTAAAACTAAAACAAGAAATCAGCCAACAGACTCACAGCAAAACTAATTTAAAACTAGCAGTAACTAATATTCAACCAAATATTCCAGATATATTACGTTCACATCAGTTCCAGAAGTCAAATTAAGCATACTTATGTTAATTTATAATCATACATAAATTAATAATAGTTCATTTTTGTATTTTTGTGATTTACTTGAATTTTTTCTTTTTTCTCTTCTGTGGGGCCTGTATCAGTTCAAAAGTTTTAAATGTGGCCCTTACTTAGAAAAAGGTTGCCCATCCTTGGCTTACACCATGGATGATATAGTGCAGCAATAGTATTGTGAAACATATGTAACAATTTCAAGGAATCCACACTGAATGTTTAGAAAATATTAGATTTTTATAAATTATTAAAAAAAATATTGATAGATTTCAAAACATTGTATAGTACAGTGGGTGATCGGTTAATGAACACTTTCACAAAAGATTTTTATGTTCAGACAATGAACATCTCACAGAACAAACACAAGAAGAAACGACATAAAATAATGAATACCGATTGGTTTTCCCTTTATTATATCTTTTATATAATTATATTATATCTTTAAATTATACCTTTATAATTATATCTTTAAATTATACAACTTTTTCTTGTTATAACTGCTGAAATAAACAATCATCATAAAACAGTTCAAGATTTATTGATGGTTTTTGAAGATGAGGCGAAGTGTTTTGAAAAACATTCAGTGTTTTTATATGCTTAAAGTTGTTACATCTTTCAAATTTATAACAACATTAAATTTGAAATCAAAATTTAACTTACTTGAACTTCTTTTTGGTGTTCTCTTTGGTGTAGTGTCAACATCAATTTCAAAAGAATATTTTTCTGGATCTTTTCCTTCTTCTATCAATGCCTATTTGAAAAGAACTCATTTACTAAAAAGTTCTAATGTATTATTTTTCTACAGTATAAAAAAAAAACAAAAGATATACATAAATATATATTAACAATTTCATATACTTAAAAGTTTTTCAGCAAAATGACAACAAATAATCAGAAACAATAACATAAATATGTCTGTAAAATCAAGAGAGTTTCAAAAGAATAAAACAAGAATGATATCATTGTTATTCTTACTTTCTCTTCTTTAATTTGTTTATAAAATGATGTTTCTAAATCCAAATGTTTTTCATCAGATTGTTTCACATGGGCAGTTACTTGTCTCATTTCACCTTTTAATCCACTATTTGTATATTCAAGTGAATTTAGAAATATCAATACAGTAGAGCATCGATTATCCGACCCCCAATTAACCAACCGTTCTAGTCAGCAAATTTCAAATGTCCGCTAGTAATGTGGCATTACAATATTTAGCTATGTCTTGGCTACTTTAATATTATTTTTGTTAAATTTTTGCGTGTTTTAGCTGGCATCAACGACTCGACCATTGAAGGGAGGCCAATATTTAAACGAGACTTAATTTTCTATATATGAGTGGTTGTTTTGTGAGCAATAAAATAATTTAAAAATAATTTTTAACGATACAATAGCGATGTTTATTATTTTACAAAAAAAATTTGTTAGGCTAAACATCAATGAAAATTCAATGCAAAGTTGGTTAATAGCAATATACTAATAAACTAATTACATGGGATTTACTAATATCCTAATATACTATACTAATAATGTATTTTTTCCTTCTTTTCAGTTATCCAACCAACCTGAGTCCCAAATTGAGTCAGATAATCGATGCTCTACTGTATTTTCAAATGCAACTTTCTTTACAAAATGAACTAACTCTTTCCTTTGTGAATTTTGCTAGAGTTTCATATAAAATGTTATCATTACAGAGCATGCACAATAAATAAAACTAGTAATTTATGATCATCTCACTAATCACTTATTTAACTTGTTCAATTTGATGAACATATCCCATATTGTTTCAACTGATTCTAATTATACAAGTTTAAACAGTGTGTTATGATACGAAAAATAATAATTTTTTTATAAAAAATATCATATCATCCTGATATGATATTTTTTGAAATAATGGTTTCATATATTATGATAATTTAACAAATAATGGGATATATAACAAATTTCCAGAATTTCCAAATAAAAAATATTCTGAGGCCTGCTTTCCTATGAAAGAAATACTAATTCACATAAATATAAATAATTAGGGAAAAAAACTACAACTATATTTTGTATTAGTTTTTCTCTTTTTCAGAGTACAGGTAACCCCCGTATAGCACGGCACTTCTATAGCACGGATTCACTCTAACACGGTTCGAGAATTGGTACCATCCCCCGTATAACACGGTACTTTTATAGCACGGATTCACTCTGACACGGTTCGAGAATTGGGTAAACCCTCGTACAACAGGAAATGTAATAAATTTTTACATACTTAAGTAATAATAGTTCACGAAAATTATTATTTTCGTGAACTATTAGTACTTAAGTATGTAAATTTTCTCTTCTCGCCTTCTGTCGATACACGTGGTCCTTCTCGAAACTTGTTTCAATGTTGCCAGA